CTGCAGCGGGGCCAGGTGCAGAGGCAAGCCCCAGCCGGGCTGCCCAAAATCCCCTGCAGTCACAGGGGGTGACTGAGCAGCCAGGGGTCCCCAAAACGCCGCACCGCCCACATCCCCCACAGCCGACACAGCAACCGTCCTCTGGCAGGCACCGGAGAGGGGATGGAGCTCAGAGACGCCCGTTGCACGGTTTGGATGGATGGATGGATGGATGGATGGGGTATTTAAGCGTGCGAAGGTGCGACTGCGCACAGGTTTCTGCACCTTCACCGCCTTCAAACAGGGCCCACAGATGTAAGCGCACCCCACATGCAGATGCCTATATGAATATCATATAGGATACATAATTTTTTTTTACCCAAATGACAGTTTTGACAAGATGCCAAGAAAACAATATCGGATCCCAGCGGTTTTACCAGTTGCTTTGATGAAAAGATTATGTTGCCCTGGAAACCAGAGGCTCAGATAGTGAAATGAGTTTGAGAAGGAGCTTTTGATAAGCACTAGTCTGCAGACCTCCCATCAACCTCTCCCTCGCACAGGAGGGATGGGGCGCCAGGTTCCATTTCTATTTTATTTTCCGTCAGCTGTTGGCATCTTTCTCCTTCCAGGAAAGCCCTCCCAGCCCAGCGCCCCTGAGCACCCCAACCTCTCCCCGTCCCCGTCCCGTACAGGCTGCCCCCGGCCCAAGGGGGTATTTCCGGATGATGCCGTTGGGCTTGGCCGGTGGCAGCCAGGACACCACCACGCTGCTGGCGGACGAGGGGACGGCCTTGATGCCGGCGGGGGGACCTGGAACTGAAGGAGGGAGCGGATGGCAGAGCCGGCACCGGGGTCTGTGCCAGGGGGGTCTGCAGGCGAGCGGTCACCCCTTTGTCACCCTGGGACACCCCTGCACGGGTGGCTCTGGTCCCCTGCAGAGCCCGAGGCAGGACAGTCAATTGCAGCCCGGGCTCTGGTTTAGAAACCGTGATTGGCTTTTAATGGTGTCTCCGTAATCTGCCTCAGCCTTCCCCTGCCCCAGCATCTGGCGCTTCCCAGGACGGGCAGCAGCCACGCCAGCCCACGGGCCTGGGGAGCGCTGCGCTGCCGACTTAATGGCATTAAAGTAGGGCCGGCAGGGGGG